GAATGCCTTGATTCAAAGAAGGTAGACCTTTCACTTAACTCATTAAATACTTGTGTTTGTTCACATGTATGTGTTGCTAATTCTCTCTATGGTCGGATTATACTTAAAAGCAATCCCCCACAGAATCAAAGAAAGAGTTGAGTTCGTGAATTACAGAAAGATATTTGTTGGCAAGTAGTACGTTACTTTGGGTAATGGAACTCGAGAGGATGTCCTTGGAGTTGGTTCTTATTAGCTAGAGACGTGTCTGGGGCGCACTTTACTCCTCCATGATGTGCTTTATGCACCTGGTATCTAATGTAATTTTTTTTTTATTATCAATTATTACTTTGTTTGGATTTGGTTTGAGTGGTAGTTAGTTGGATACATATTTGAATAAGGGCTTGTATGGACAAGGTTTTCTTTCTAATTGTTTATTTATGCTAGATTTGAATTTTTTTCTCATATTCTTATGTGTCTTGTGATAATGATGTATTAAAATTCTATTAATTGGCATGCTAGACTTGGTCACATAGGAATAGATAAAATGACTAAACTAGCTAAAGAAGGCCCGTTGGGGCATCTTGCTATTGTAAATCTTCCTATATGTGAGTCTTGTTTGGCAGGAAAGGCCTGTAGGAAGCCTTTTGGAAAGGCACCTAGGATTTTATATCCTCTAGAGTTAGTCCACTCTGACATTTGTAGACCTATAAATGTAAAGGCATGCCATGACGCTTCTTATTTCCTTATATTTGTTTATGACTATTCATGGTTCAATAATGTCTATTTGATATCACATCGCTTTGAGACATTGGATTTCTTCAAGCACCTTATTGCATTGGTTAAGAATCAGGCAGGCAGGAAATTGAACATCCTTTGAATGGATCGAGGGTGTGAATATTTATCACATTAGTTCTAGGGACTGAGTGAGGAAAATGGGAATGTAGGCAGTTAACGATTCTAGGCAGTTTGAAACAAAATGCTGTAGTAGAGAGACTGAATTGCACTTTGCTTGAAATGGCTAGATTGATGATGACACAAGTCAACCTCCCTATATCTTTTTGGGAGGATGCTCTTATGACTACTGCCTACATCCTTAACCGTGTGCCTTCAAAGTTTGTTCCAATGACTCCATATGAGTTATAAAAAGGTGCAAAACCTGATTTGGAGCATTTGTGGCTTGGAGTTGTGCGAGTTTTGTTCACAATACTTCTCATAAGTATGGAAAGTTAGGCTCTAGAGAAAATAAACAAGTGTTTGTTAGATACTCAGAATGCTCAAAGGGTTATGTAAAGTATGATGAACATCCCTATAGTGGAATGACTAAAACTGAGCTGTGAGATGTCAGTTTCATTCAGAGTGAATTTTCTAGTATTGGTGAAGTAAAGAAATATATTGTGCTATTCGAGTTGTAGGAGTCTAAGGAAGTCACACCATCTTTTGCGAGGATGGAGAATTAGAGACTCATCTTGAAATTGCCAAAGATAGTGAGAGTGCTTTACCTTCTAATGAGAGTGTTTCACTAGAAAATGACTCAATAAGGATGCCAGTTACATAGAGGTAAACGTGGAATCATTTATCGTCATCTTATACGATTAAAGGAAAATCTTTCATGTGTACTCCATTGGATCATGATGAGTTTGCTTCGTACTAGAAGCGTTAGTTTCATCAAATGCTAGCAAGTGGATGGCTACTATGAAGGATGAAATGAGTTCTATGGCTCGGAACCAAATTTCAGAGTCGGTTGATGCAGACACCCCATTTTTTACTGACTTTAAGACTCAGACGTCATCGTTTACGCACTCGATGATTGTGCATGTTTGTGCTCGTTTTAAGTGCCCGAAGTTCTCGGCTGAGTGCCTTGTCTTTGAGCCTCTAACCCTCTGTGTTTTGGCCTTATTTTTGGGCCAAACATTGGTGCCTCTTGCTTGGAGGGAAAAAAGGCCTTGTCGGCCACTTTTCCTCCTTGTCGGCTACTTGATGTGGTTGATCGACTAGAGGAGGTGGCCGGCCGGCCACCTGAAGTGGCCGACGGTCAATTTTCTCCTTTTTCAAATATTTTATGTCCCAGCTGTTGATAACTGAAAGCCTCCTCCATACACATGAAAGCAAGCTTTTGGCTTGCATTTCTATATAAGGAGAGGTCTCTTCCCCATTTTGAGAGTTACAAAATTTTGTGAGCATAATTTCTTCCTCTCTCTCTAGAATTCTCTCTCTCTCTCTCTCTCCCCCTATTTTGTGCTTGAAAGTGAGTTTTTTCTATACATTTGCACTAGGACCCTTAGCCAAACACCTTCACCTTCGAGCTGAGATTCTTGAAGGTCTTGTTTGAGCTCTCAAAGCTGGTTTTAGCTCAAAATTGCACCGGTTTTAGTGTTATGATTCAAAGGTAAAGGCTTACCTCTTTTAAGCTTTATTTTAGTTGCTTGTTTGGCCACCTTTGCATGTTGTTTTTGGCCTAGTTTTCAACTACAAAAACTCTATTTTTAAGGTTTAAAAAGGGTAGTTTAAGGCCTTTTTGGAGTTAGGGGTGGTCCACCTTCTTTTGTAGCTTGTTTGCTAAGGTGTTGTGCTCTTTTTCAAAGCTTTTAAAACAACCTTTTTTGGCCTTTTAACCACTGAATTCCAGGGGAATTTCAATGGCAAAAAGTATGTTTTGAGGTCCAAAATATGAGGGGGTGGCCTCCCCTCCATGTGTCTTGTTTGTATGTGTAGATGGCCTAACATGTGAGTATGTTTTTCTACCATTTTGTGACTTGATCTTAGCATGTTTTTGCTATTATTTTGGCGTGATTTAGCTCTATTTTGAGCTGTCTTGGTCATATGAGGCTTGCTTTGTATAACTATAGTGTAATTGGCTTCACTAGCTTTGTGTTTTAATGCCTCTAACATGCCGTGCATGTGTTGATTGCATGATATAGCATCATTTCATATATGATTTCAGTGCATATAGCCTTGTCACACTCTCACATACTTCACTCTTTCATTGCTTTTGAGAGTTGCGTTTTGAGCCTAGCTTGCGAGCCAACACATGAACATGTTTTTGTAGCTTTTTGTGCTTCAATTCTAGCATGATTTAGCCACTATTTTGGCATGTTTAAACTTTGTCCAGAGCTAGTTTGATCATTAAGGCTTGATATTGCATGCCTCTAGTGTAATGCTCGTCACTAGTATAATGCTTTTACCTTTTGAACATGTCTTGCACGTGTTGCCTGCATGATTTAAGGTCTTTAGCATGCCATTTCAACATCAAAAAGTCTGCAACCTCCCTCATTTCTTCATTTTTCTATTTGTTTTGAGGGTTGGTTAACCTTATGGTTGTGTTTAAGCTTGAGATAGAGCTTGTGCTCAATGGCTTTAACCCTCTTTTGAGGGTTCCTCCTAGCCAAAGGCATGATCTCTCTCATTTCTTAAATCATCCTTTGGTTGACCCCTTTCTCATTAGAGGACTTTCACATTGGACTTAACCGGTAAAAGAATGACTTGGTAATGTAGAATGTGTAAACAAGAATTGGACAAGTAAAACACGACCAAGATAAGCATGTTGTGTTTGCATTGCATTGTGTTCAATCGGACGTTATATTGAACACAAGGTAGATTGGTCCATTTCATACTCAAAGTTATGAAATGAGCCAATCTCCATTGTCGTCGCCACCCTTGATCATGCATGATAGGGTGGTGGCCCTTTGAGTCTTATTTGTGCATTCATTATGCTTGTGCAAGCTTGGTTCTTTAGCCATCATGCATGAAAATGCTTGATTGGTGGCTTGAGAGCCAAGTGCCACACTCCTTTGAGCTTGAAAAATGATAAGTAGGGTGGCAGTACACACATTCCTTGAAAAATGCATTGTTTTGCCTCTGTTGTCTCTGCTGCAGCAAAATCAGAAGCCTGGAAAAAGGGGTGGCCGACCGGCCAAATAAGGTGGCCGGCAGCCACTTTTTGTGGCTGACCGGCCACCGTCCATTTTTTGTGCAAAAGCGTATCTGAGTTAGGGCAGAAGTAGTCTGGAAGTTGGTGTGTTGTTCAGAGATCAAGGCGAGTGCAAACAGAGGCAACTGATGGCAAGGCGTTGGATTTTCGGGAAGAAGCCAACCGAGCATGCATGTCTCCCTTGCCTGCGAGGCCACTTTACTTGCTTTAATTAGTTAGTTGTAGCTAATTATTTGATTTGAGTATTGTACTAAATTAGCTTAGTGTAGCTAGTTATTAAATTTCAATTGTGTTGTAATTAATTAGCTTAGAATAGTTAATTAGTTAGTTTGTAGTAATTAGCTTATTTTAGTGTAGCTTAGCTTATTTATTCGGACCCTCCTTCGCGAGGGTGCAATGTTGTAATAAGTGTGTGTGTGTGTGTGTGTGTGCATGTCTTCCAACCCCACGTCTTTCTCCCTTTCACTTAACCACTTTCGATGGTTAGATTAGGGTCACGTTTTGATTAGCATACCTTATGCTTTGCATGTTTGCATCATTCATTTGTCTTGCATGCACTGGGCTCGGCGCATCATTCAAGCTGCATCGTATTTCAATACTTATTTGAATACGTGTATGAAATCGTTGCGTTCATATGCCATCTTAGATAGCCGAGGCTACCCACGGAGGAGAATGTGGTTCGCACATGAGCGGGGTAATGCTAACTCGGAAGATTCTCAGACAGGGTTACTACTGGTCAACTATGGAGGATGATTGAATTGGTTTTGTTCTGTGATGCCACAAATGCCAGATCCAGGCAAATCGCATGAACATCCCACCGTCGAAGCTGTACAACATGACTTTACCATGGTCATTTTCAGTCTGGGGAATTGATGTTATTGGGGCAATTACTCTGAAGGTGTCAAACGGGCATGAGTACATCCTGGTGGCGATAGACTACTTTACAAAGTGGGTCGAGGCCCAATCCTATGCAGTGTTGAAAGCATCGCATGTAGTATAATATTCCCAACTTTTCATCTAGAGCCAAACACACTCCTATGTTAAACTCCATTTAGGATATCTAAACCCAACTCCAAACTTGATGGTAGGTGTAACCAAACACCCCATTTCAACACAAAAAAAAATTTAGAAGTGCAGATTTTTTTTCTTCATTCTTCATTCTCTAACTTCTCTCTACTTTCTCTCTCATTTTCCTTTACTTTCTTGGAGGCCAAACACCACACCTTTGCTCCACCCTTACACCACCACCTTGACCCACCATCTCCACCACCTCCGGCCACCTTATCTCGCCGGAAAATGGGTCCGGTCGGCACTCCTTGAATCCATCCGAAAATAACACAATAGAAGCACAAACTCTAGATTTTTCTTAATCTTTTGAAGAATCAAAGCATGGGATTTATTTTCTTGATGGATTAGAGGCTTGTACTTGGTAAGAATCTTTCTCTAAAAGTTTAGTTGAAGGTTTTACATATTTTGAGTTAGAGATGATGAAATTTTTGTGTTTTAGATCTATTATGATTTGGGGTTTGCTTGTTGAATTTTATACTCTCAATTAGTTTCCATGAATGTTTTACATGTTTAAAAAAAAAATGGTCAATTTGATGGTTGATTTGGAGATTTAGATTTTTGGGTTAATCTAGGGTTGAATGTGATGTAAAAATTGTGGGGATTTTGGTGTTAGGGAATTTATATGTTGAAATTGAGTTGATAAATGATGGATTGGGTATCTCTATGTTCTATGGAGGAATTTTATAAGGGTGCTTAGCTGCTGATCACTAAACGGGCAGTGTGGTCAGATTTTTACCCACACAATTGCCATTGATATGGCCTCTGCTATGGATTATCTTCACAACCATTGTGAAATGACTGTCATTCATTGTGATTTGAAGTCAAGTAATATTCTTCTTGATGGTGATTTGTGCGCCCATGTTAGTGATTTTGGCTTGGCCAAGATTTTTTTAGCCACCATCAAAATATTTAATCATCAACAATCAATGGCCAAGGTGTCACCGAAGTGCCAGCTGAGGTGCCACGTGTCTTGGTCATGATGCCGAGATGATCTCGGCTAGGCCGAGGTTATCTATGAGAATACCAGAATCTAGAATAAGCGGATAAGGGACAAGAGTCCTAGAATGGGAGAAGACTTCACTTTGGGTAAAGATAAGAATCTTAGAAAGTTTATCCTAATCCTACTGGGAGTCCAAGATTAGCAGTATGTATAAAAAGAAAATCTATAAATTTATTGAGGCCAAGGGTTGAGTTTTAAAAAAAGCTATGATTTCATTTGTATAATGAAGCATTTTTTTTTTTATGAGAATTTATTTAAGTTGAGTCTTTCAAATTTTATGATGATGATGATTGAATGACAGTGAAATGTTATGTGAGGGTATTTATTTTATTGATCATATAACCGAATATAGCCTTTGGGGCCACAAGGGCCAAAATGCTTTGGGGTCCTGGGGACCGAAATGTTTTAAGGACCATAAGGGTCGTTGTATGTATAAGGGGTCCTGGGGACCGAAACATTGAAACAAGAATTGAAGTGCTACGATGACATGAGCTATGCTCCTATGGTTATGTTCTGGGTAACGGTACCGTCACCACCTAAGTCGCGAGGTAACGCGACCCTAAGGCTATGTAGTGGATTGTATGATGGACAGGAAATCTTAATGTATTGAAAAGTTATATTTTTGTTTACTTTCATTATCCAAATGTATGTTTTTTTTTTCTGCCTTATGAGATTCCTTGGAAAAATCTTGATAACGTTTTATGAAAATTGTATTGCATCATTTTTATTTTTATTTTGTATAAATTGAAGTCCAATTAAGCTCTTATGTTTAGTATCTTTATTTTGAACCCTATTGGTAGGAGCAAGTTTTATAACTCCATGGTATTGGTATACTCATTGGGCTTTAGCTCATTCTTTTAAATAATTTTTTTCAGATTCATAGACTTTTGTGTGGCTCGCCTCAACTTGGAAGACTAGAATTTTTTTGAAGGATCACAGGTGGGCATCTTGTGGTTGAGGTTTTGCTTAGGGTCATTCTAGGATGTAAGCTTACCCTTTTTTTTTTATGAAGGAGGTTGATTGTAAAAATTGCTTATGAAGTTGGATGTATTGATGGATTCGTGATTAGTATGTATTATATTTTTTTTTGGGAGGAAATGCTTGGGAACTATCTTGTAGCATGATAATATTTTTTTTGTCTTTGAATAGATCATCTCATATATGTTAGGCAATTGAAAGGTGCTATAGCGTTTGAGGTGCACCCTCTTGGCAGGGTTTTGCCTTGCCAAGATTGGGTCGTTACATGTAGCCAAGTTCATCAGGAATAATATTATCTGTCTTTATGGGGTCCCTGATGAGATCATTTCGGATAATGGTTCCCACTTCAAGGAGGAAGTGATTAACTTGTTGAAGAAGTACAACGTGGCTTTTCATATGTCATTCGCATATCGACCGCAAACTAACGGAGCTGTTGAGGCCGCCAACAAGAACATCAAGCATATTCTATTAAAAATGGTGGAAACCTACAGGGACTGGCCAGAGAAGTTGTCATTTGCTCTTTGGGGCTACCGGACATCAATTCGAACTTCTACTGGGGCAACTCTGTATTCCCTGGTTTATGGGATGGAGGCTGTTCTCCCAATCAAAGTAAAGGTTCCGTCACTATGGGTTATGGCTGAGTGCCAGATAGCGGAAGTAGATTGGCAGTAGAGCAGGTTCGAAGAACTTATGCTGTTCGACGAGAGGAGGCTGAAAGCACTGTACCATGTCCAAGGTTATCAACGAAGAATCGCCAGGACTTTCAACAAGAAAGTTAAGTCCAGGAATTTGAAAGAAGGGGATTTGGTGCTCAAAGACAACCGAGCTCCCATCCATGACCCTAGGGGCAAGTTCAGACCTAATTGGACTGGTCCTTACATTATCAAATCTATTTGGTCGGGTGGAGCTATTGTTCTTATGGACTTAGATGGCCTTGAGTTCTCCTAACCAATCAACATGGACAAGTTGAAGAAATATTACCCTCGAGAGGCTCACTAGGCCGAAAACCCAAAAGGGTGACCTAGGCAAAAGTTAGAGCACAAAAAATTTGAAATAAGAAAAACTGAGCTCGCAAGCTTAAAAACCCAGAAAGGGAGGCCTTGGCAAAAGTTAGAGCACAAAAGGAGAGTGTTAAAACCTTAGTGAACTTGAACCGAACTACGTAAGGCTTGATTCCTATCTTCGGGATACGTAGGCAACTTCATTCTGAAGTCCAGCCATAAACACTTCTAAATCAACTGTGTCCATGTGATTCTTCTGGTCATCTTTGTCTTTTCTACATCCAGGAGTTTGGTTGTGATCTTAGCTATCAGAGCTAATTACAGTACAGTGCAGTGAATTCAGACAAGGGGCAACTTTCCAGTTGTTGGATTTGGGGTTGTACATCTCAAGGATAGATTCTGGGTGTGTCTAGTTGTGATCCTTATCGAAAATGGTTTTGAAAAGTTTCAATAAAAGTTGATTTTGTTTAAATTAATCTTTTTACAACTTAGACCATTTTTGGACCAAAAGAAAAATTTTCAATACCCACAACCTTCAATTTCATTGATTTCAATAAAGAGTTCTTCAACTCTTGATACAAATTGAAGTTGCTTTTTATTACATTCAAAAGAAAAACTTGAAAGTACAGATTAAAGCAATAAACTTGGGGCATAGTTGAGTCAGGTGTTCCTACGTCCACTCCCAGAGCTTGTGGAAGCTTCAGATGCCAAAGTAGGCCCGGTTTGAGCCTCATCTTGAAGTCAAGCTATGCACTCGCCAGAAAGGGCGCAACTGAAATTGGGAGCGGGAGCCAGAAGTTCTCTTGTCCTCCATGCAGTGGTATATCGAGTTAGCTGTGAGCCTCAGATCGGTAATGAAGCTGGGTACTCTATCCCCTCTTCTGGGCAAGTCTGCTCGTGTTCGAACTGGCACCTGAACTGAAATGGAAAGTAGAAAACGCGGTGTGTCAAGCCAATCAACTAAATGCCAGGCTGTCGAGACATGCTGTAGCTCATCTCAGGCAGATCAAACCAGGGGCAACACCATGCAATGTCGACAGCAGACCTGTTGCACATCCATTGGCACCACCACCCCTCGTTTTGGAAATCAACTAGTCGAGGATGAAAGAAATAGCCATGCGCTAAATATGCAGGGCAAGAGTCCACTACTTTCAACTTCTCCATGAGCCATACCTGGGGAAGGATGAAAAATAAGAGAGATTAAAGAATAGAGAGGTGTATGTGGAGAGGAAAAGTGAGAAAAGGGTTTTGAGAGAAAAACAGAGCCTGAGGGCCGAGTGATGTGAGAAACACATGTGAGAAGGGTGGGAAACATTACCTGCAAGAGTAGTGGACTTCCTTCGAACCTAGTCGTCTCCCGGCGATGGAAAGCGTCTAAGCCTATCAAAGTCTCGGCTAGTGTTAAGCCAATGCAGCTCTTGCCCTCCTTCAAGCCTTGGGCAACTTCTATCAAGAGAATGTTAGGCCCTCCGAAGCCAGGGGCAAGCAGGAAATGAGCCAACATGCAAGCGCAGAGGGCATCCTGTCAAAAACTTTGCCAAAGACGGTTGACGCGGTCACCGGCATCAGCAAACCGATGAATCAAGCTTGGAATGTTTAGCACCCCATTGTGAACCAAGGACCGAGCATCGTGCAAAGTGAGCCCACACATCCGTCCTAAAGCTTGGATGTGGCCAAAACGGGACTAGGGCAAGATTTCCTCGTTACGTCGGGATTCCATCAAAGCTTGGAACTCTTCAATTGTTGGGCACATCTCTTGCCCCCCGAAGTTAAACACATGTGTAACTGGGTTCCAACATCTAGCCGTGGCATGGAGGAACAGAAAACAAAGTGGGTACGACTTAGCAGAAATAGTGCATGTCACGCCCCAAATTCGCCCCTAAAAGTTTGGGCATGACCTATTCAGAACCAGACACATAACCTGATATACAAAATATATGGGGCTTGAACGGAAGCATTTAACAACATAAATTAATCATCAGCAAACCGATGAATCAAGCTTGGAATGTTTAGCACCCCATTGTGAACCAAGGACTGAGCATCGTGCAAAGTGAGCTCACACATCCGTCTTAGAGCTTGGATGTCGCCAAAACGGGACTGGGGCAAGATTTCGTCGTCGCGTCGGGATTCCATCAAAGCTTGGAATTCTTCCATTGTAGGGCATATCTCTTGTCCCCCAAAGCTAAAAACATGTGTAATCGGATTCCAGCATCTAGCCGCGACGTGGAGGAATGGAAAACACAGTGGAGTATGGCTTAGTGCGAATAGTGCATTTATCCTAAAACCCCAAAAATTTAGTTTTTCCGTACCATCTAAAGTTGTAATCCAATCAGAGAGTTTTTTGGTGAAGAATGGTTCCATTTGGAGCAAAAATAGAGCTGGAATGAAGAAACCATGAAGCTGGAGCTTTTGTAAAAAGATAAGGTGCTGAGTGGAAGACAGGTGGCAGCAATCTGGAAATTGTCAAAATTACTGGCCGACCGGCCAGTTCAGGTGGCCGACCATGGTCAGAAGTGGCCAACAGCCTCTTTTTGTCCCCAGCAGAATATTTTTGGCTTTCCTGTGTGTTAAGGATGCTAAAAACTTGTGTTCTGTTCCACTCTGGATACGTCCTGCTCTTTTGTTTAGTAGTTTTGTTGAGTTGTTTTCAAGTTTATTGCAATTTGTTTATCGAGTTGTTGCAATTTGTTTATCGGGTTTATTGCAATTTGCTTATCGAGTTGTATTTGTTTCATTTATCGAGTTATTTTTGTTTATCGAGTTGTTGCATTAGTTGTTCTTTGAATTGCCTTATTTTGTTTGTTATGTTTTGGTTGGTTCACTACCCGACTAAGCAATTGTCAAGACAATGTACAAATGTTCAATTTTCATTGATCCCATTTTTGTGTAAAATGGTGCAAAGCGATGCTTAGAATATAAAATGCAACACTATTTAATCAAAAATCTATTTTCATTCCAATCATAGTTTGTTTTTACAAAGAGTACAAGTTTTAAAGAAAATAAAACGGCCTAAGGCTGTACAATGTGCTAACACTACTAGAAAAAAGAGAAACAGAACAAAAACATTTGAATCGATGCCACCCATCTCAAGATCGAGAGGCCCTCTTCGTCCTCTTCCTCGGCTGAGCGGACTCGGAGCTGTCACCATCTGCACCGTTGTCTGAATCTGAGCCGGAGCCTGAACCAAAGCTGCCTCCGCTCCTATCCTCGGAGCGCTCCTCAGTATCGTCACCACTCTCAGAACCCGAGCCGGTGCGGTCGCCTCTAACCTCAGATAACTCTGACTGCGGACTCACTGGCTTCTCGTCCTCACTGGACTCGTCGTCGTCATCGCGTATGACAAGCTCCCGACGTCTCCCTCGGCCGTGCGCCAGAATCTCTCTCTCCGTTGCTAGAGAAGGCTCTGAGGGTCCTGTCTGTAAGGGTGTGACCTAAAAAGGCAGTTTGAAAATATCAGCTGTAGCATGAGTATCAGATGCAAGTATAGTGTGCAGAGTGAGTACATGCAGAAGTTAGATACAATATGTGAATACAACGTGTCAGATGTGATCTATTCATCTAGTGTATCAGTGCAATGTGGGAAATGTTCAGTTGAGATTTCAGTTTTAGTATATCAGCAGAAATATGATAATCGAAATGCGAGAAAATTGAAAATTACCTGAATACCGTGGGAGCTAAGCATTGTCTCTCTCCTCAAGATCATGCCCTCAAAGGAGGCCAACACCTTGAGTAAACCCTCGACGTATCCGGTGGAGGGCTGCAAAGGCAAGTTGAAATGATCAATGAATGAATGAATGTCTGAGTATCTGAGTGATAAATAAAAGCTGTAATGCATACCGGTGGTGAGTCAAGTGTCCTGACATATCTATAACCGGGAAACGGGGGCTCAAGCAGAATCGGATAAGGCACTCCGGAGTACCACCAACCTGTCAACTCAGTCAAAAGATCTGGCCATCCAACACTCTGTCAGGTAGGAGGCATCCCTCTAGCCTCACACCTCGGTGCCCAGGCCCTGCTTGTCGAAGGGGTATCCGTTGCCTGGGCCCTGCTCGTCGAAGGGGCATCTGCTGCCCGAGCCCTGCTCGATGAAGCAATATCAACTGCCCTCCCCGTGTGAGCACGAACACCTGTT